TGTTTTTTTTATAGGGAATAGTATCGAGGATAGGTTCACACGATATAAAAATAGAAAGTGCTTGTTAATAAATGAGTGGTAAAGAAGAAAATCAAGGATTAATGAATCAATTCGACGGAGCTCTAAACACAAACAAACACCGCCCGCGCATGCGCAGATTCAGCCTCGTGGTGAAGTCTCCACTCCCCGGGCCTCAGCCCCTGCATCGACAGGATATCTGCTTCTACATTCTGACGCCCCGGAATGTACACTGCTCTGAGAGATAGCAACTTCCCCTGGGCCCATAGGAGGATCTGATGGGCCTGCTTGCAAAGGTGACGTGACCTCAGACCCCCCTGATGGTTGATATAGGAGACCACCGAAGTGTTGTCCGTATGAACCAACACATGATGGCCTCTCAGGTCTGGCAGGAAATATTTGAGAGCTCGAAATACCGCCATCATCTCCAAACAATTTATATGCCATGACAGTTGATGGTCCTGCCAAAGACCTTGCGCCGAGCGCCACTCATGACCGCCCCCCATCCCGTGAGGGAAGCATCCGTCGAAAGCGTGACGCGTCGACAAGAAGCCCCCAGCACTGGGCCCTGGGCGAGGAACCAAGGTTTCTTCCACATGACCAAGGCACGAAGGCATAGCCGCGTGACCTTGATCTTGCGGAACGGATTTCCCCTCGGAGAAAACCCCTTGGTTCTGATCCACCACTGCAGGGGTCTCATGTACATCAGGCCAAAAGTAATCACGTTGGACGCTGCTGCCATGAGCCCCAACAGTCTCTGAAACTGTTTCACAGTGAGTGACTGGCCTAGTTTCAAATTCTTTACGGCTGTGAGAATCGCAGAAATACGAGCAGGAGATAGACGTGCCTGCATTGTGGTCGAATCCCAAATTACACCTAAAAAAGTTGTCCTCTGAGCAGGGAGGAGAACACTCTTCTTGGTGTTGAGCCGCAACCCCAACTCCTTTATGTGAGACAGAACGACATCTCGATGCCGAACTGCCAACTGCTCTGACTGAGCTAAAATCAACCAATCGTCGATATAATTTAATACGCGAATGCCCCGGAGTCTCAACGGAGCCAGAGCTGCATCCACGCATTTTGTAAAGGTGCGGGGTGATAAACCTAGCCCAAACGGTAGAACCCGATACTGGTATGCTTCGCCCCCGAAAGCGAATCTCAGGAACTTCCTGTGATGAGGATGGATAGATACATGGAAGTACACGTCTTTCAGGTCTATTGTGACAAACCAGTCCTCGGACTGAATCTGTGATACAATTTGCTTGAGTGTGAGCATCCTGAACTTGAGTTTCTGAACTCTGCTGTTTAACTGGCGCAGATCTAGAATAGGACGCAACCCTCCATCCTTTTTCGGAACAATGAAGTAACGGCTGTAAAACCCTGACTCTCTGCTGGGAGGAGGCACCCACTCTATAGCTCCTTTTTGAAGAAGTGTCAGAACTTCCTGCTCCATAACCAGAGCCTGCTGTGAGTCCACCACTGTGGGAAGGACCCCTTGAAATCTGGGCGGACGAGAACCGAACTGAATTCTGTAACCCTTTTTCTATTATGTGCAGGACCCATAAAGAAATATTTGGCAGACGTTTCCACGCTGCCAGAAATTCTGATAAGGGAACCAGTCTCTTGAGACTGGCCTCTGGATTTGATTGAACAATCATTTCGGCGCCCTGAAGCGGCGAACCGGCAGGGAACAACCGAACTGACCGTTCTACAACCCTCCTCAGAGGATTGCACGGGGACGCTGACACCTCGGTGCCCTGAAACGGCGAACCGGCAGGGAACAACCGACGTGGCAACGCTGCGGAGAAGATCCATCTAAATATGAAGAGAACCAGGTTAACTATGAAAAGAACCATCAGCTTATTTTCAAAGTATTTTTTTTAAAAATTGATACTTGCATTTGGTAGTGAGAACAATTCTTGAAGTTGTTGAAAATTGAAGTCATTGATGGTTCCGAGAGTGTTCAAATGTGGGAGTTGGTTGAGAGTTCTCTCTCTCCATGGTTCTGCAGTATCAGCAGAAGCAGTGTTGCGGCCGGATGAGAAAAACTAAGAGAGTGAGGTCACTGTGGACTGTCTCTAATAAAGCCTGAGAAAAAGTCCCACCTCCGAGTTTGCTTTACCAATGAGAAGTTGAGTCTCCTCTGTGGGCAAGATTTATGAGTCTTTGTCCTAAGTGTGGTTAGACCTCTGCCTTACCCTTTTTCTGTTCATTAATGCTCAGATAGATATAACAAATCCACTTTGTATTCTAAGAGAAGGTGATGTACATCACTCTGTACTTCTCTTTTAACTGGTGTGGTTCCTGACTTTTTTAAACATGCTATTGTTGAACCTGTTCTTAAAAAGCCCAGTTTAGACCCATTGCAACCCTTGAGTTATAGGCCTATATCTAAACTCCCTTTCATGGCAAAGATTCTAGAGAAAGTGGTAGCAGAGCAGCTTACTACTTTCTTAGAGATAAATGATATTTTTGACAAATATCAGTCAGGTTTTCGTAAAATACATTCTACGGAAACTGCACTGGTGAAAGTTTCAAGTGATATTTTGATGTCAGCTGATTCTGGGAAGCATACAGTGTTAGTTTTGTTGGAACTTACATCTGCCTTTGACACTATTGATCACAATATTATGCTTAATAAACTTCAGGATCTATTAGGGATATCTGGATCAGCTCTGAAATGGTTCTCATCTTACCTTACTGGTAGAAGCTTTAGTGTTTTTATAAATCAGAATATGTCAGATACTGCAGGTTTATCGAGTGGTGTTCCTCAGGGTTCTGTCCTGGGACCGATTCTTTTCCTTCTGTATATACTCCCTTTAGGACAGATAATAAGCCAGTTTCAGGATGTCTCTTATCACTTGTATGGAGATGATATTCACTTATACTGTTTTTTTAAGCCTACTGAGTTGTCATCTTTAATCAACTGTCTGAGTAGGATCAAGCAGTGGCTAAATGACAACTTTTTAATGCTGAACTCAGCCTAGACTGAAACTGTAATCATTGGCCCTGAGCAGAGCATCCCTCAGATAAAACAACATATCGGTGCCTTAGGTATGTCTGTTCAGCCGAGTCTCAGGAGCTTAGGTGTTGTTTTTGATGCGGCCATGTCTCTGGAGAAACACTCAAAACAACTTATTAAAAACTGTTTCTTTCAATTAAGGAACATTTCTAAAATAAGAGCCTTGGTGTCAAAAGCCGAGTTGGAGATGATCATTCATGCTTTTATCTCGTCTCGTTTAGACTATTGTAACAGTCTTTTTATTTGCCTTAATAAAAAAGATCTTTGTCGTCTCCAGACTGTCCAAAATTCTGCTGCTAGGCTTTTAACCCACACGAGTAAAAGGGCACATATTACTCCAGTTTTAGCTTCACTTCATTGGTTACCAGTGAAATTTAGAATGCACTTCAAAATGTTGGTTCTAACTTTCAGAGCCCTACAAGGACAGGCACCCCCATACATCTCTGACCTGATACAGCTGCGTACGTTCTCACGTAGTCTGAGATCAACAGGCCAGAGACTATTAGTTGCCCCCCTTTCACATTTTAAAACTAGGGGGGATCGTTCATTTCAAGGTGTGGCACCCAGGTTGTGGAACGCTTTGCCTTCTTCCATACGCTGCTTGGATTGTGTGGAAATTTTTAAAACCCAGTTGAAAACTCTGCTTTTTAAAGAGGCTTTTAACTAGACTGTAGGGTGGTTGGGCTGGTCTAATGTGTACGTGTGTTTAATTTGAATATGTGCTGTAATGTATTTATAAGAGTTGTGAATTCTTTCTTTTGTTGGGAAGCACTTTGTGATTTTTATCTGAGAAATGTGCTGTACAAATAAATTTTACTTACTTACATCAAAGTGTGAGTCATTAAATGAAGATTAATTGGGTAGGAGACATGATGCAGGTGAGGTTACATTGACCGTTGGTTGGTTGTATAATAAAATACATACCATAGTATATACATAATAGTACACAAGACAGTAAATCATTCAAACAGTTTCTGGGATGCAGGTTCATTTCTAGATCAGTTAGTCTATTAATGCAGCAAAGTCTGTATTAAAGATTGTTTCTGACTTCCCATTGTCTCTCTCTTGCGCATGCGGCCACATTCCTTTGACAGCAATAAAAGCAACTTATCTGATCATATCCATGGTAACCCAAAGGCCCCCCTTGCACCCGCTAGCGGGATGGGGCCACAGGTCCCAGTGTGAGCTATATAGATTATTTGTTAACCATAACAAATAATTGTGTCTGATTGGTCTCAGTTCCTACACACTATACGTTTGCTTTATCTGAATCTCAGTTTATTTTAATTATTGGATCTGTAGAAACATTTTACTCACAAAAATCACACATTGTCAGTAAAATGGTCATTTTATTTGTGGTTATTGTATAGAGTTTTTGTACATATCTGTGTATGTAATAACAGGCTTTATATAAAGCAGCATAAATGTTAGATTTCTTCTAAGTATTAACATTAATTGTTTAAGACAAAAAAAATGTTTTACAGTCGTGCTCAGAATTAATGGTACCCCTGGTAAACATGATCAAAACTGGCAGTAAAAAATAAATCTGCATCGTGTATCCTTTTTTCGCAATTGCCAAAAGTCTAACCTTTCATTGAAATTGGGGGGAAAATCACATTATGAAATAAATGTTTTTCTCCAAAACACGTTGCTTTTGGCAAAGAGAACACTGTGCTCTTGACTTAAGTTTATTACTTTTTAATAAGAGTCCAATTAACTCAAAACGCTTAAAAGGTTGTTTTTTAATTACTTATAACTATAATTAATTGTAATTACATACAATACACAGTGTGGGACGGCCTTTTTCTGCCCTTTTTCTTTAGACCAAAAAAAAAAAATGGTATCAAATTCAGGGAATTGATTAATTTATGAACATATAACTGATTGTTGTTGTTTTTCTGCATTTCTTTCCAGTCTCTTTTTATTTCTTTGAGTAAGCATTCAATTAAAATAATTCAATAATTTTATTGTTCTCCAACATATAAAACACAAATCTTGTGGCATTTCACAGCAATACTAGTTTATTGGTTAACTAACTACACATTTACTTTATGTGAATCCAAGAAAACATTTGCTCACTGTGACACAGAACAATGCTTTCTAATATGAGTCACTAGATGACTTGATTGGGTGAAACTTCTCTCACACTGAGTACAGTAGTACGGCTTCTCTCCAGTATGAACTCGCTGGTGTGATTTCAGGTTTCCAGCCTGAGTGAAACTCTTGTTACAATATGAGCACGTGTAAGGTTTTTCTCCAGTATGAATTCTTTGGTGCAGTTTCAGATTCTCAGATGCAGTAAAGCTCTTCCCACAGTCACAACACACATGATCTCTCACTTCATTGTGTGTTTTCTGGTGCTGTTTAAAACTTCCCAGCCTTGAAAAACTCTTTCCACAGAGAGAACACGCATAAGGCCTCTCATCTGAATGAAGATTCAGGTGTGATTTTAGTTGTGATGATGAAATAAAATCTTTACCACACTGATCACAGTTAAATGTCTTTTCTCCAGAGTGAATGAGCAGATGATAACTGAGACCTGATGCATGAGTAAAACTTTTCTCACACTGAGTGCATGTATACGGTTTCTCTCCAGTATGAAGTCGCTCGTGTGATTTCAGAGTTCCAGACTGAGTGAAACTCTTGTCACAATATGAGCACTTGTAAGGTTTTTCTCCAGTATGAATTCTTTGGTGCAGTTTTAGTTCACCAGATGTAGTAAAGCTCTTCCCACAGTCACAGCACACATGAACTCTAACTTCATTTTTTTCTCCAGAGTGAATGAGCAGATGATAACTGAGACCTGATGCTTGAGAATAACTCTTTCCACACTGAGTGCATGTATACGGTTTCTCTCCAGTATGAATTCTCATGTGTGTCTTAAGGGTTCCTTTTTTTGTGAAACTTTTCTCACACTGAGTGCATCCGTACGGCTTCTCTCCAGTATGAATTCGCTCATGTAATTTCAGGGATCCAGACTGAGTGAAACTCTTGTCACAATATGAGCACTTGTAAGGTTTTTCTCCAGTATGAATTATTTGGTGCTGTTTCAGATGAACAGATGTAATAAATCTCTTCCCACAGTCACAACAAACATGATCTCTCACTCCATCATGCGTTTTCTGGTGCAGTTTAAAACTGTTCAGCCTTGAAAAACTCTTTGCACAGAGAGAACACACATAAGGCTTCTCATCTGAATGAACTTTCAGGTGTGATTTTAGATGTGCTGATGAAATAAAATCTTTACCACACTGATCACAGTTAAATGTTTTTTCTCCAGAGTGAATGAGCAGATGATAACTGAGACCTGATGCATTAGAAAAACTCTTTCCACACTGAGTGCATGTATACGGTTTCTCTCCAGTGTGAATTCTCATGTGTGTGTTAAGGTTTCCTTTCTTTGCGAAACTCTTTCCACACTGAGTGCATGTATACGGTTTCTCTCCAGTGTGAATTCTCATGTGTGTGTTAAGGTTTTCTTTCTGTGAGAAAGTCTTTCCACACTGAGTGCAGGTGTGCGTCTTTTTGGCTTTTGTTCTTTGAAATGTAAAGTTACGATGTTCCTCCTCCACTTCATTCAGTTCTTGTCTTTGCTCTTTCACTCTCACCTGGTCTAAAATACACAGAAATACAGTTAGAATCAGTTCAAGTGAACCCTTATTTAATAGCAGAAAACAACAGAGATCAGATATTTCACTTGTTATTCTGTCATTCACTTGTTAACATAGTTAAAATTTGTTTGACAACTGCTATACAAGGTTATGATCATTTAGATGCATTTCTCCATCATCCATATGCTTAATAATTCACATCTACCAAAGCATCAACAATGAAGAAACAAGAACGGACACCAACCTATTTGTTCCTCAGTATCTTCATGTTTTATTCTGGATGGTTCTGGATCACTCATGTCTTCAATCTCCTCTTTAATAAACTCCATCTTTAACAGTCACACAGATTTCAGCTGCTACTCCTGGAGTTTGTCCTTCTCTTGTAGGATGATGGGAATATTCCCAGTATTTATTGGTGAATTGTTGTGGGAGGGGCTTCACTGCAGGTGTGAACTGTGATCACTGTGTTTTTATCCAATCTGCATTTAAAAAGTACAGGGCCATCATGTTAAACTGAGCTGCTGAAAAACCTATTTGTCTCCAAAAGTTCCCTGTTTTCAGCTCATTCATTATGGTGATGTCTGAGATCTTCTGTAAATTGCCACATTAAATCGTTTTATTGGTGTCAACAGGCTGAAACAAACTACAGCATCATCACCTTTAACTTCAGTTCTTGTCTTTGCTCTTTCACTTCCATCGAGTCTGAAACATTAAAACATATTAAGTTGTTAGAATGAGTTCAAGGATGAATGTTAATTTTCAAGTGAACCCTGATTTCATAAAAGAAAACAAGTGAGATCTGTTTATCAAATTGTCACGAAACACCAGACACAGAGGGATCCAAGTGCAGCGTAGGTTTATTTACAGGGTAGTCAGACAGGCAAGGGTCACAGACAGCAGACACAGCATAGGAGACAAGGCTAAATCGTGGTCCAAATACCGGGCAAGAGATCAGAGGCAGGCAGCAGACGATACGAAATCCAGGAACACAGGCAGAAGGTCGGGAAACACAGGCAGGATATCAGGCATGGAAATGCTCTAAAGCAGACTAGGAATCAAGACTAGGAAACACTAGAAATAGACCACGACAGTGACATACAGTCATACAATACTACGCAAAGAGTCATAGTGACAGTGATGTATAAATGTGTGTGGAGCTGCGTGTGGAACTAGATGCAGGTGTGAGAGTGATCAGTGGAAACAGGTGTGTGAGTAATAAGTCCAGGGTGTGTGCGTGAAGAGTCCAAGGGAAGGCAGTGCAGAGGTGGAGCGCCCTCTCGTGGCACTCGAGGGCAATCCAGCCGAACATCGTCACACAAATAACATATTTTTTATGTACTAAAGGTTAATTTTGTCATTCTCTTGTTAATATTCAAAATGTGAACGACAACTGCTGTACAAGATTATGATCTTAGTGCATTTATATTCCTAGATTATTTGCATATTTTTCACAGCTCTTATGATTGGCATCAAACAAAATATTTAGCATTTGAACTATTTGAAAAAAAATCATAAAAACAGGCATGATTTTTTTTTTTACGTTGAAAATGATGTTTTGTGTAAAAGGTAACTATAGAATTAAACAAGATAATAGGCTAAATGTTTTGTCTTTGAACTTTCATTATACAAATCAAATTACACCAGTGAATTCAAAGTGGTGAGTGATGTAGGTGAGTGATGTAGATAAGTGATGTAGGTGAGTGATGTAGATGAGTGATGTAGATGAGTGATGTAGGTGAGTGATGTAGGTGAGTGATGTAGGTGAGTGATGTAGATGAGTGATGTAGGTGAGTGATGTAGATGAGTGATGTAGATGAGTGATGTAGGTGAGTGATGTAGGTCAGTGATGTAGGTGAGTGATGTAGGTGAGTGATGTAGATGAGTGATGTAGGTCAGTGATGTAGATGAGTGATGTAGGTGAGTGATGTAGATGAGTGATGTAGGTCAGTGATGTAGGTGAGTGATGTAGGTCAGTGATGTAGATGAGTGATGTAGGTGAGTGATGTAGGTGAGTGATGTAGATGAGTGATGTAGGTGAGTGATGTAGGTCAGTGATGTAGATGAGTGATGTAGGTGAGTGATGTAGGTGAGTGATGTAGATGAGTGATGTAGGTGAGTGATGTAGGTGAGTGATGTAGATGAGTGATGTAGATGAGTGATGTAGGTGAGTGATGTAGGTGAGTGATGTAGGTGAGTGATGTAGGTCAGTGATGTAGGTCAGTGATGTAGGTGAGTGATGTAGGTGAGTGATGTAGATGAGTGATGTAGGTCAGTGATGTAGATGAGTGATGTAGGTCAGTGATGTAGATGAGTGATGTAGGTGAGTGATGTAGATGAGTGATGTAGGTGAGTGATGTAAATGAGTGATGTAGGTGAGTGATGTAGGTGAGTGATGTAGATGAGTGATGTAGGTCAGTGATGTAGATGAGTGATGTAGGTCAGTGATGTAGATGAGTGATGTAGGTGAGTGATGTAGATGAGTGATGTAGGTGAGTGATGTAAATGAGTGATGTAGGTGAGTGATGTAGGTGAGTGATGTAGGTGAGTAATGTAGGTGAGTGATGTAGATGAGTGATGTAGGTCAGTGATGTAGATGAGTGATGTAGGTGAGTGATGTAGATGAGTGATGTAGGTCAGTGATGTAGATGAGTGATGTAGGTGAGTGATGTAGATGAGTGATGTAGGTGAGTGATGTAGGTGAGTGATGTAGATGAGTGATGTAGGTGAGTGATGTAGATGAGTGATGTAGGTGAGTGATGTAGATGAGTGATGTAGGTCAGTGATGTAGATGAGTGATGTAGGTGAGTGATGTAGATGAGTGATGTAGGTGAGTGATGTAGATGAGTCATGTAGGTGAGTGATGTAGATGAGTGATGTAGGTGAGTGATGTAGGTGAGTGATGTAGGTGAGTGATGTAGGTCAGTGATGTAGATGAGTGATGTAGGTGAGTGATGTAGATGAGTGATGTAGATGAGTGATGTAGATGAGTGATGTAGATGAGTGATGTAGGTGAGTGATGTAGGTGAGTGATGTAGATGAGTGATGTAGGTGAGTGATGTAGATGAGTGATGTAGATGAGTGATGTAGATGAGTGATGTAGATGAGTGATGTAGATGAGTGATGTAGATGAGTGATGTAGGTGAGTGATGTAGATGAGTGATGTAGGTGAGTGATGTAGGTGAGTGATGTAGGTGAGTGATGTAGATGAGTGATGTAGGTGAGTGATGTAGATGAGTGATGTAGGTGAGTGATGTAGGTGAGTGATGTAGATGAGTGATGTAGGTGAGTGATGTAGGTGAGTGATGTAGATGAGTGATGTAGATGAGTGATGTAGGTGAGTGATGTAGATGAGTGATGTAGGTCAGTGATGTAGATGAGTGATGTAGGTGAGTGATGTAGATGAGTGATGTAGGTGAGTGATTTAGGTGAGTGATGTAGATGAGTGATGTAGATTACCGCCGCGCTTGTTTAACAGAGAATGGTCACCATGGCAACAGCGCCAGACAAAAAGAGGTCTGCATAATTCTCACCAGCAGAACTGTTTTGGCTTGGGAGAAAATAGTTGCTTGAGTCAATGCTTAAGTTTACATTTTAATTACTGTTATACAGTGTTGGGTGTAATTAATTACCAAGTAATCTAAATACAGTAATTCAATTAAAGGGATTACTCTAAATTCTTCAGTAATTTAAAGTAAAATTGGATGTAATTGCATTAAATACTGCATATACTATATAACAATTCTGTTTAAAACAATAGTGGATTTAACATATTTTTAATGTTACCTTCTCCCTCTACACACTTTGGTCAATTCAAGAATAATTAATGCAATTGTATATTGTTAATTTGAAAGCATTAAAGTGCAGTTTCTTGTCTCTCCTTGTATTGTTCAAGTGGTCAAGGTTATTATGGGATTTATAAAGTAATTAGTAAGTAGACCAATACATTCTAGAGATAGAAATTAATCTAATTACACTGTTGAAGATGTCATTTCTAGTTAGTAATTAATAACCATTTTAGAGTAACTTACCCAACTGTTATAATATTAGAGGTGAAACTGGAAGAACAGTAGCCTATGTTATTCAACCTAATTTTAATTTTTCATATAGGTGCAATCCTGCAGGTACGGAGCCCCCTAGTCCCACTTTGTCAAAAAAAAATTATTATAACTATCTCGTGGCCTCAAGATAAGTAACTCGTGGCCTCAAGATACTATCTCGTGGCCTCAAGATAGTATCTCATGGCCTCAAGATAGTAACTAGTGCCCTCAAGATACTATCTCGTGGCCTCAAGATAAAGACACTATCTTGAGGCCACGATATACTATCTTGAGGCCACGAGATACTATCTTGAGGCCACGAGTTACTAGGGCTGGGCGGTATGACGGTATATATCGTTACCGCGGTAGAAAATGTCAACCGTAACAGATTTTTTTATTCCGTGTATACCGCGACATGCAAATAAGTGGGCGTGGTTAACTCGCGTCCAACGTGCGTGAGACTGAAACACTGAGAATTGTAAAAAGAAACACGGAGAAAGCAGATCAAGAGGATCCACAAAGGAATTACATTTTCTAAAGGGTTGTTGTTGTTGTTAACGTGATATTTTCGGGAGAAAAGGCGCAGCAGTTCACTAGAGCAGTGCAGCACCCAGTCTACAGATTAGAGGAGCACGCTCGCAAGTCGCAACGGGGAAAGCTGGACAACAACAGTTCATATATCAATATCGTAACGAATAGAAATAACCTTAAATAATGTATAGTTATCAGCATCTTTCCGTCTCTTATAGTTTTAAAACACGCAAACAGTTTGCCGCCCGTGGTAATGAACAACCTGCAACAAGTGAATGTGTAATCCTGTAGCCTATCTGAGGCAAAATTACTAAATATGCATCGCGAGTTATATATTTCTAACTCCAAACAATTGGCCACTGAACCAGCTGATAAAATCTTCCTTTGATTCGACGTGATTACAACTTGACACTCAAATTAACCGATCGCATTTTACTGATGCAGAAGACGCGCGCGTGCACACGCACTGAGGGAGCG